CACCTTGTGATGCTCTGTCTTCTTGGTGCTGGGGGGGGGGTCAACAGTGGGAGGGCTTCTAATGTCCTGGCCCCAATGCTGGACCTCCTGATGGCACCTGGTATTTCTGGCTACTGTGTGACACAGAGTGTTGGACTGGATGGGCCTTTGGCCTGATCCAACATTGGCTTCTCTTATGTTCTTATATGGAGCAGAGGTCCTTCAGTGGTTATTAGCCACAAGGTCTAAATAGGAACTCTCAGTCTGGGGCAAGGGATGCTCTGTAGTCTTGGTCCTGGGGGGGGGGCAACAGTGGGAGGGCTTCTAATGTCCTGGCCCCACTGGTGGACCTCCTGATGGCACCTGGTATTTCTGGCCACTGTGTGACACAGAGTGTTGGACTGGATGGGCCTTTGGCCTGATCCAACATTGGCGTCTCTTATGTTCTTAAGGTACAGATAGGAACTCTCAATCTGGGGCAAGTGATGCTCTGTCTTCTTGGTGCTTGGGGGGGGGGGGGCAACAGTGGGAGGGCTTCTAATGTCCTGGCCCCGCTGGTGGACCTCCCGATGGCACCTGGTATTTCTGGCCACTGTGTGACACAGAATGTTGGGCTGGATGGGCCTTTGGCCTGATCCAACATTGGCGTCTCTTATGTTCTTATGTTCACCTTGAGGCTCTGCCGTGGGGAGATCGAACCTCACTTGCCCTTACAACTGTCTCAACAAGAGCACCACGCAGTTCGGGGGTGGGTGGGGGGTGGGCTGCTGCGCCTAGCCGGAAGGCTGCCTACTGGTGTCAAGGCAGAGGCGAGGCTCAGACGGGAGACGCACCGACTCACAGGCCAGCCCTCCGGCCACTAGACTGCTTGAGCTCCCGCACGACACTCGGACGTATCAACCACAACAAAACTGCCACACGAATCCAAGGCCCAGCGTGAAGCCTATCGAAACGCTGTGTGCCTTAACAACCCTGGGAAAGCGGAGGGCCTACAGCCCCGGTCATTAACCCAGGGGGGTTCCAAGATGGTGCCCGCAGGCGCCAGTGCACACGACGACACCTTTTCTGGCACCCGAGTGCTTTTGGGAAGTGGGTGGGGCTTTTGCCCAGCAAGGCTTCGGACAGGCTGTGCAGAATTTTAAAAATATTGCTTTGGCAGCAGCTGCCACCACGGCACGAGGATCTGCGTTGCTGCCGTTTAAGCTGCGGCAATGATTTTGTGGCTGGCTCCACCTTCCACAGCAGCCATTTTGTTGCTCTGCCCGCCGTGCTATCTCAGAATCCCAAAGGTGCCCACGGGCTCAAAAGAAGAAGAAGAAATTGGATTTATACCCCGCCCTTCACTCAAGAGTCTCAGAGCGGCTTATAATCCCTTTTCCTTCTCCACCCCACAACAGACACCCTGTGAGGTAGGTGGGGCTGAGAGAGCTCTGAGAGAAACTGCCCTTGAGAGAACAGCTCTGAGAACTCGTGACTGACCCAAGGTCACACCAGCAGCTGCATGTGGAGGAGTGGGGAGTCAAACCTGGTTCCTCCCAGATTAGAGTTCGCGCACTTAACCACTACACCAAACTGGCTCTTTCAAATGCTGTCAGTCCAACCCTACACCGTTTCCCTGATGCCTCCCCTTTAAATAATGGTAGAAGAAGAAGAGATTGGATTTATACCTCAACCTTCACTTGGAGTCTCAGAGCGGCTTACAAACTCCTTTCCCTTCCCCTCCCCACCACAGACAGCCTGTGAGGTAGGTGGGGCTGAGAGATCTCTGACAGAAACGGCTTTTTCAAGAACAGCTCTGACAGAACTACGGCTTGCCCAAGGTCATCCAGCAGCTGCAAGTGGAGAAGAGGGGAATCAAACCTGGCTCTCCCAGATTAGAGTCCGCACACTTAACCACGACACCAAACTGGCTCTCAGGTCGGGGACCTCTGCCTTAACCCTCTTTGACCCCTTCAAGCACGCAAGCCCTATGATCAAATGCCCCCCAAGCGACAGTCCCAAGAATGACATTGGTTTGTTTCTTTAAACCCAGTGGGGGCATTCCCACTTTACTCCTACATCCTGTGTGTGCCCGTCTCAAATAAAATGTGACGGGGGGGGGGGGGGAATCTAGGATTTGGGCCCCGGGAAAGAACGAACAGGATAAAAACATTACAAAAAACAGAAGACAACTCAGAAGCCACAGGAAGTGGGGAGAAGAGGCTCCTGAAACCCTCCAGTCTCAAAGGCCCATTGGCCTCAGAAAGTTCTGAAAGGGGCCCAAACTGTGCAGGATGGGCCATATGTTCCCAGTTAAGAGTTCCTGGCCTAGAGGTGGAGGAGGAAAAAAACAACCCAGTTGTGAGGGAGGGATGACGGTCTTGTCCACAGACTGGACCTCGCAGCTCAGTCAAGGATTTAGAAATCTCCATTTGCTTCACTCCATCACATCGCTAGGAGAGCATAAAGTTCGGAGGCTGTGGAAGCAGGTCCAGGGGTCAGTGGAGAAAGGGCCTGATGCTTAGAGAGAGAAGAGGGGCAGAAAGGAATTGGTGTGGGCAGGGGGGGGGGGCAAGAGAGAAGCAGATTAATTTTGCATCGAGACGGGCGCAAGGACAGCTAGGAAATGTCTGGAGGCAGGGAACTCTCCAGCAAGGCCTAGAACGGGGGTCCCTAACATTACCTCATTTGGAGTACTGTGTACAGTTCTGGTCACCACACCTCACAAAGGATATAATAGCATTGGGAAAAGTGCAGAAAAGGGCAACTAGAATGATAAAAGGGTTGGAACACTTTCCCTATGAGGAAAGGTTAAAGCGCTTGGGACTCTTTAGCTTGGAGGAACGACGGCTGAGGGGTGACATGATCGAGGTTTACAAGATTACGCACAGGATTGAACAGGTAGAGAAAGAGGTACTTTTCTCCCTTTCTCACAAGACAAGAACTCGTGGGCACTCCATGAAACTGCTGAGCAGTTGGGTTAGAACGGATAAAGGGAAGTCCTCCTTCACCCAAAGAGTGATTCACACATGGCATTCACTGCGACAGGAGGTGGTGGCAGCTACAGACATGGACGGCTTCAAGAGGGAATTAGATAAGCATATGGAGCAGAAGCCCATCAGTGGCTATTAGCCACAAGATATAGATAGGAACTCTCAGTCTGGGGCAAGGGATGCTCTGTATTCTTGGTGCTTGGGGGGGGGGCAACAGTGGGAGGGCTTCTAATGTCCTCCTGGCCCCACTGGTGGACCTCCTGATGGCACCTGGTATTTCTGGCCACTGTGTGACAGAGTGTTGGACTGGATGGGCCATTGGCCTGATCCAACATTGGCTTTTCTGATGTTCTTATAAGAGGGAACTGGATAAGCATATGGAGCAGAAGTCCATCGGTGGCCATTAGCCACAAGGTATAGATAGGAGGTCTCAGGCTGGGGCAAGTGATGCTCTGTCTTCTTGGTGCTCGGGGGGGGGCAACAGTGGGAGGGCTCCTAGTGTCCTGGCCCCACTGCTGGACCTCCTGATGGCACCTGGTATTTCTGGCCACTGTGTGACAGAGTGTTGGACTGGATAGGTAGGTCATTGGACTGATCCAACGTTGGCTTCTCTGATGTCCTTATGGTGCCTGCCAGTGCCTTTTCTGGTGCCCACCAAGCGCTTTTAGAAAGCAGGCTGGGACAGGTGGGGCTTTTGCCCAGCAAGACATCTGATTGGCCACTGGAGATTTGATCGGCTGTGCAGATTTTTTTTAAAACACTGTTTCGGCGGCGGTGGCAGCCGCCACCACAGCTCAAGGCTCTTTGCCGTGTGACTGAAGGTAAGTTGGGGCAACCATTTCGTAGCGGGCCCCACCCCCTGCAGCAGCCGTTTTGGGGCCGCGCCCCCCACGCTGTGTCAGAATGCCAAAGGTGCCTGCAGGATCAAAAAGGTTGGGGGGACCCCTGGGCTAGGAGACTGAGCGAGACGTGGAGAAGGGCACAGAGACAGTCTGGTAGAGGGGACAGCAAACGGACCAAAGAGAAGAGACGGCAGGAGAGGCCAGTGTGAGAAAGTCACGGTCGACGCCACCAGGGGTGGGCTAATGTCCGTCTTGCGTGGTCTGTCGCACCCCCCCACCCAGATTCCAGTGGCCTACCAACACATTTTAAATTCACAAGGGGACACACCCTGGAACTCTTAAGAAGAGGAAGAAGAAGAGATTTGATTTATACCCCGCCCTTCACTTGGAGTCTCAGAGCGGCTTACAAACTCCTTTCCCTTCCTTCCCCTCCCCACAACAGACACCCTGTGAGGTAGGTGGGGCTGAGAGAGCTCTTTCCAGAACTGTCCTTGAGAGAACAGCTCTGACAGAACTATGGCTTGCCCAAGGTCATCCAGCAGCTGTGAGTGGAGGAGTGGGGAATCAAACCCGGTTCTCCCAGAGTCCACACACTTAACCACTACACCAAACTGGCTCTCTAGAAGAGGAGGAAGAAAAAGAGGAGGAGGAGGAGGAGGAGATTGGATATACACCCCGCCCTTCACTTGGAGTCTCAAAGCAGCTTACAAACTCCTTTCCCTTCCCCTCCCCACAACAGACACCCTGGGAGGTGGGTGGGGCTGAGAGAACTCTGACAGAAACTGCTCTTTTTCAAGGACAGCTCTTATCAGAACTACGGCTTGCCCAAGGTCATCCAGCAGGTGCAAGTGGAGGAGTGGGGAATCAAACCCGGTTCTCCCAGATTAGAGTCCGCGCACTTCACCACGACACCAAACTGGCATCCCAAATATGCACCCGTGCCTAAAAATGACTCAAATCAAGGCCCACTTTCTCCCAGCATTCTTTGCAAGAATTCCAGCAGGCCCGTGGGGGTCTGCAAGCGGTGGTTATCAATCCAGCAGTAGAGCACAAACCTCTTTCATCAACATGAGAGAAGCATAAAGATTTAGCAGTATGTAAAGAAAGGAAGGGGCTACGAAGGTGTTCCTTTGTAACTTTTTCTTTGCCCAGCCTGGAATCAGGCACAGAAGTTGAAGCCATTAGTCGAAACTCCAGGAGTCCATACCTGACCCTAATTTTTGATCAGCTAAGGTTCCCTTTCCGAAGAGACGTCTCCCTCTGCTCCACTGCTGGCACTGGGGTCGTTTTTACTTCTGGGAACATTCCTCTCTCTGCTAGATTCAGAGGGCACCTTCGGTCTGGTCTTCTCTTTCCTCTGTTGCTGTTTCTCGAGTTTTGCCAGCTATTTGCAAAGAAAAAGAGAGGGGGGGGGAACAATCTCTCAAGCACGTACTAAAAGAGGTGCAAGAAAGAACAATGATCACAGCCTAAACTCTAATTGCAAAGATGAAGTTGAGCTGCAGAGACTCTGCTGAATATGTGATGCATGGAAAGCTGGATCTTTGATACAAACTCACACACTCCATGCACACCCCTCCACCTTATGTGCCTGTCCACTGTTTGTTTGTGAATCTCACACTGCTACTTCCTTGTGAAATGTCACCAAAGGCATGCCTTTACAGTAAACAGAAATGTGTAGTCCTTCTTTACATTTATTTTAAGGAACAAAATTGCAAGGAATATTAGGGACATTTCTAACAATAAAGGCACAGAAAATAGAAAGGCAGCCCTTGTCCAAAACCAAGTCCTCCAAAGCCCCCCCTGCTCCCATGGAAATCAGCTAAACTTAAGAGACTTTGGCAAGACTGTGCCTTAAGACTGCTGATACGAAACAGCAAAAGGGGACAGAAATCTCCATACTTCCATAAACCACTTGTTATCCTGACAGCATGTTCAAGGCTCATAAATAATAAGTCTATATGGTTTATTTATTCTAAACTTCCACACCAAACATTAATGGCATGCAATTTAACTGAATTAAATATGCACATTTCCAGTATCTCCCATGTGCATCCTTCTAATTTTGCAGACGTACTACTTCCTGCTTCTATCAGGGTCTGCCAAAGAACTCAAGTTACCGAGCTGGCAACAGACAACCTCCCCTCTACTCCTCGGTTATGTTACCGTCTCCCTGACAACTCGGTAAAGGATTTCAGAGAAAGAGACGTCAGGAACCTTCTTCAAACATATGTTCTACCACTAAGTTATCATGGGCCCCGGTCACACGGGCAGGAAAATGCGGGGGGGAAGCGTGGCTGTTTGCCCTGGAGCAAAATAACGCGCGGTTGCATGATCAGACGTCCCGTCGAGGTCCCGTGTTTAGGGGGGAGGTGCCGATCACACGACCATCCTGCAGCGCGGCAAAGAAGCGGCGCGGTGCGATCACACCAGCAATCGCTAGGTGCTGCTTCCGTGGCAAACGGGATGGATTTTTTTTTTAACTGAAGTTTGTGCATACGCATGACTGAGCAATCGTATCTGCACATCCGAAGGCGGGTGGTGGGCTTACTGGAGAGGGCGACAGACGCTTCCGGACCCCAACAGAGCTCCGAGGCATAGCCAATGGAGGGGGAGGTGGGCCCCCTCGTCACAGCCACTGTAACCGCCTGCGAGACAGTGGCCATAGCAACCCTCCAGAGGCAGCAAGCCTGGCTGCAGTGGGAGGGGGGCCTCTTTGTGCGCATGCGCCGTTGGGTGCTTGTGCGCATCCTGTGGAGACTTGGGGGAGGGGAACCCTGTTCGCGACGGGACATGGGCGGCCGCCGGATGCCACGGGATTCCACCGGAAACGCGATCAGGCACCCGCCTTTGCCCCGCGGTTACCGGAAACTAGTACCTCGGAGGTACTAGTTTTTCACCCCGCATCTTCGGCGGGAAGCCTCAGGTGAGCCACGGGAGCCCTATGCTTCCCAGATGTGGCGGTGAGATCACGCCTGGAAAATCCGCCTATCTTCGGTCTCTGTAGCGTGGCTAATGTTCCGTGTGACCGCAGCCTTACATTAGCAAAGCTGTGAAGAAAAATACAGTGATCATTGTGGTGGGTCAACAAACATGTGGATCAGGAGCTCCGGTGGGGTGGCCATGTAGAAAGCCCCTGTTCGTAGTAGAAAGCAATTCAGATCATAATTTGGGGCTTGATAACCACAACTTCACAGAAAAACAGTAGTCATGGTATTTCTGCTCACTAGGGATTACCTGATGCTAAGACTGACTGGCACGGAAGTTTAGGTCATGTCACTGGAACTTTTTTCTAAGGAACAGAGTAACTGGATATCACCTAAGCTCCATTTCCCATCAATCCTTTTTCAAGTTGGTAGAGATCAAGCAGGCTGGACCACCATCAGAAACAAAAACCCACATTTTGAAGGGGATATAGCAAAAAGATGTGGAATTCGCCTTCTTATTCATCCTGAATATGGGCATACTGATTCAGGATGAATAAGAAGGTGAATGCCACATCTTTTTGCTATACCCCCTTGGAACGACACAAACTGCTACACGGTTGTGCGTTCCTAAGAAACCCTGGGTTTCTGTTGTGAAAAGATCAATGAACATTGACTCAAATGGTAAGGACAAAAAAGGGAAAAGGGGAAAAAAACTGAACCTAAAACCTAGAATTCAGAACCTTAAAAGGTTAGTCTAGAAGAGGGCCAACTCTAAAAATGTAATTATGAAACATACAAAAATATACATGTATTTATTAAACACAAATTAAAATAACAAATAAGGGCCCATTCATACCTCATATACAAATATAAAAATACAAAGGCTGATGAAGTAGACCTAACGTGTTTCGGTCTTCACAGGCCTTCCTCAGAGGTCTAATGCAAATAGAACATATTGGCTAATATGTAAAAATATATACAATCGAACATATACAAAATATGAAATAAAGACCAGAAAACAATTGTTCCAAAGTTAAACCAGTGGGCAAAAATACAAATGAAACCTCCAGTGCAATCACATGTCCAGTAGTACTTCTCTCTGGTCAACTATATATTCTCCTGAGATTGTATAGCCAAATGTTCCCAATGAAATGAAATATTCTTTAAGTTGTATATATTTATATGGGCCCTTATTTGTTATTTTAATTTGTGTTTAATAAATACATGTATATTTTTGTATGTTTCATAATTAGATTTTTAGAGCTGGCCCTCTTCTATTCTTGAGTAACCTTTTTAGGTTCTGCATTGACTCAAATGGACCAAGGCATTGCTGCCTCTTGGTTCTCAGGAGGAAAATCCATTCCAGGTGCCATGTCAGGAAACTAAGATTGACAGGACAAAGCAGGGAGTGTTTACCTTAATGACACACTCTAATCAAGATCCTCCGTCTATCTGTAGACGTAAGTGAACGAATCCTCCCTTTTAACCTCCGCAGATCACAGCTAACAAGCAGCCTGTGTGTATTGTTAAAATTACGCTACTGCTCTATATTTAGCCAGGGATGCAGCTCTTCAAAGGACAACAGTCCCCCCTATTCTTCCAGGGCAGGGCATTCAATTCCAAAGGACAGGTCTAAAATAGCACGTAATTGATTTCCAGGTGGACACTAACCAAACAAATGGGATCAATTCAGGACTTCTATTACAGACGAGGCATTAAAAATTAAACAGCATATTCTTTTTTTAGCCAGGCTATTAAAAGAGTATGGCACATTTTCTAGAACAAGCCGTCCCAAAAGAGGTTTTTCTTCTCTCCATGGGGGCACCGTATCAATCTTCCAGATTCTCTTCACAGATCCAACCCTCCAGAGGAGACATGAAGATTTTTCAATTATTTTCAAATCAGGGCTGGGGGGGGGGGGCGGATAGAGGACGGCACAACAACTTATGTTTCAGGGGAGTGATGAAGCTTGATTAGTTGAATAAACAAATAATACGCATAGAGAACAGCTTTCGGGTCCTCATAACAACAGCAACCAAGATAGGGCTGGAGTCACAGAGCAAGTAAATCACAGGAAGTTTCAATGAGATAAAAAACGTTTGCTCCTGAAAGAGCCCCGCCCCATTGGAGAGGGGCTGTGGCTCAGTGGCAGAGCATCTGCTTGGCATGCAGAAAGTCCCAGGTTCAATCCCCGGCATCTCCAGTTAAAAGGACCAGGCAGTAGGTGATGGGAAAGACCTCAGTGGCTCAGTGGCAGAGCATCTGCTTGGCATGCAGAAGGTCCCAGGTTCAATCCCCGGCATCTCCAGTTAAAAGGACCAGGCAGTAGGTGATGGGAAAGACCTCAGTGGCTCAGTGGCAGAGCATCTGCTTGGCATGCAGAAGGTCCCAGGTTCAATCCCCGGCATCTCCAGTTAAAAGGACCAGGCAGTAGGTGATGGGAAAGACCTCAGTGGCAGAGCCTCTGCTTGGCATGCAGAAAGTCCCAGGTTCAATCCCCGGCATCTCCAGTTAAAAGGACCAGGCAGTAGGTGATGGGACAGACCTCTGCCTGAGACCCTGGAGAGCTGCTGCCCGTCTGAGTAGACAAGACTGACTTTGATGGACCAAAGGTCTGATTCAGTAGGAGGCAGCTTCACGTGTGTTCATTTCTGTGTTGCAAAAATTGGGGAGTATTTTCCTACCATTCAAGAGAAAAACACAACACAAAGTCCGACTCCTAGACATGTTTGTTCAGAAGGAAGTCTGACTTAATTTGATGGGATTTAATCCCACATCCATGTGAAGAGGAGCACAGCCTTAAGACATGTGCTGCTTTTGACAGCAATGCAGAGTCGGCACCGAACTGCCATGCTGACAGCAAGTCTCTCCACTCTCACAGCCAATCCTGCCCCTATGGGGACCAGATGCTGCTCCTCATGCGCAGAAGGTCAATTAGGTTGCAAATTGAGCCCTAGACAATCCCCCCCCCCCCAAAAAAAAGTATTTTACTAGTCTGGTCAAACAAATCCCAAAAGAAAATCAGATAAATTATAATACAGAACGTACCAGCTGAAAATCTATTAGATACCTGTCTCTGGCAGTAGAGCAGCAGAAAAGACATCAGAGAAAAATTTAAGAAAACACAACTGTGTCCGTTTTCCCCTATATGCCAATTTCAAGATCCCTTCCAAGGTCAGTAGGGATAAAAAACCCTCTAACCAGGGCTCTTTTTGTAGAAAAAGCCCAGCAGGAACTCATTAGCATAACAGGCCACACCCAACACCAGAAACTCATTAGCATATTAGGCCACACCCCTGCCGGCACAGCTCATTCGCACATTAGGCCGCACCCCCATGTTATCAGAAGTGTGCTCATCCAGCCACACCCACCTTTTGCTTGTTATTCTGTTTACCTTGTTTGTTGTCAAAACCCAGGGCCTTTTTTGTAGTAGGAACTCCTTTGCATGTTAGGCCAC